TTATATAATACTGCAGGATGCTGACATTAATATTTAGCTCACTCAGGTAAATGACGACACACTGTAGGGTCTAAACCGTGTTATCTAAACCTGACTGTGGTTTTAAATGTCTATATAACTTGATTTTCTGACACGTTATGCTTCACTTGTAGGTGCGCCTGCAGGCCCAGTCTGCGTATAAAGGAATATTTCACTGCGTGGCTAAAACCTACGCTCATGAGGGGGTAGGTGTCGTCTGCTCTTCAGCTCTTCTACAACATATTGCTGCATATGTGGTCTTAGTTCCAGCCTTCACCAGAAACCCCCTGACAGACAGTAATGGTGTGCTTATTTATTATGTCTTCACTACATCAGCTCCATGGATTCTTCAGGGGCATGGCATTTCCCATGCTCACCACCGGCATCATCAACTCTGTTGTGTTTGGCTGTTACAGCAATGCTTTCGCTTACCTCACTCAGTCCCAGCGTAGTGAGCGTAGTCAAGGCTACCGGGGCTACAATGCACACATCTTCACTGCCGGCTGCTTCGCAGGACTGGTGCAGGTAAGATCACCTGGCTGCTGTCATCCATACACGCCATACATGGACCATAGCTGCTTTTTACTGTTTTTATGTGTTAGGGACACAGAACAACATGTACCATGAAATCACTATTCTGATGGTGTTAATACCATTATTTCTAGTTTCATGTAGCACAGGGGCGTCCAATCCCGGTCCTCGAGGGCCACAATCCTGCATGTTTTAGATGTGTCCCTCTTCCAACACACCTGATTCAAATGATCAGCTCCTCATCAAGCTCTGCAGAAGCCTGATAATGATCCTGATCAACTGAAGAACCATTTTTACCTTTTGGCAGGAGGTTTTTCAAAGAACCATTTCCTAAAATAGTTTTTTAAAGAACCCTTAAAGAGCCTCAACCATGGTTCCTTCAGGCACCGTTGATGCTTCAAAGAACTTTAACAGAAACAGTTTATTTAAGGAACCATGTCCCAGACAGTTCTTTGGACACTCGGCTCGTTCTGTTTTGATAACAGACAGTCGTTTAGGTAATTTCTAAACTAAAATGTCAAATGAGACCCCCTCATGAAATATTTTGGGTTCTTGGACAGACACAAGAACATGTTGCAAGATGCCAGGGTGGTGGATGGGAAACTGTTTTCTGATGTTTTACAGCCCCAGTGATCAGTCAGTGCTGAAAATAAAGAATGCTTGCAGCCTGTAATCCTACACGGTTACCTGCCACCAAACCCAATAACTCTGAGTAAAATAAACAGGTTCCTTAATTGGAGATGGCAATTTGGGAAGTGCTTTTTTTTTTTTTTTTTTTAAAGGTGTTTATGTAGAAATTAAGGCTAATGCGCTTTCCCAAGTTCAATTTAAAACAATATGATTGGTCGAATAGTTTTTGTCACACCTTGTCACTGACAGAAAACAGCCTTCAGTTCTGTAGAAGTCTTATTAGTCCAGCAGGAGGCCTTCCAGAACCTCCCGTTATTCACCAAACCGCTCAGAGCAGCTGAACCCGTCGATGTTCTGATTCATTAATGGCATTTAGTCACGTTGAACACGGTGACGGGTCAGCGGTGTTCTGCTACGTGTTGATCTGTTCTTCTATAAAACATAAAGGAGAAGGCACAGATACTGCTGCTGTAAGGCTAGCTCCCAGCTAACACCAGTATTGTATCTATCATTTAAAAAGAGACTTAAAAGCTCTGATGTTTTTGACCTGACAAGGAGAAATGAACCTGCAGATAGTTGCTCTGCTTTAACATATACGTCACCTCTGATGGTGTAATTATGATGTTGCACAGGTTGCATGAGGTACATGTGATCTACCTGCAGATGTCAGCACTAAACAATAAGCTCCGCTGTCATCAAAGCAGTGCGGCTCAAAGAAATGAAACCTATATGAATCTTGCAGGTCCGGTTTGGTTGCACAGATGTAACCGGTTGTTTCTGTGCTGCGTCGTGTGATGATCCCAAACACAGATCTGTTTGGAGGCGATCTCCGTTTATTNTCATTGAGGTCTCTTCCATTGGTGTCTTTGTCTTTGCATATCTTTATGTAAGACACTCTTCATGACACTTAAACACTTCATAAAGTAAATGACCAGTTCACTGTAACTCAGTCGCTGTGGCTCCTCCTGCTGTCTGGAACAATTTGCCTTTTAATGTGATAAACGCTCTGATTCTAGGAACTTCAAAGTCACTGCTTCAGACTCATCTGTTTTTGCTGATGTTTGATTCAAATAGAACTTGACAGACTTCACCTCTTAGTGTGTTTTCTTTATTCTTTCTTTTTCACACACAAAAAAAAAGATTCATTCTGATCTGTCTTTTAGCCATTGTGTTTTATGTTCTTGCTATATTAACAGGAAAACACTTTGGCTCAGCTCCTGGTGTCTTTTAAAATATGCTTTTGACTGTGATTTTGACTCTGGCTATGAAGTTGTACCTATTTATTTGTCATGCTAATGTGGGATTGATTGTCACTCATTTATCTATTGTTTATTTTGTTCTTGCACCTGCTGTACGTAGCTCAGGGACGTACAGTGATGAGGCTTTTATTGTGGAAGCGGCGGCCGGAAGCAGAAGGTGCAGCCTGTTAAATGTCGGCAGCTTGACGCTTCCTCCACTCGGCTGATGGATGGTGAGCAGTGAGCTTTGACAGAGCAGGAGTGTGCAACAGCAATGAGGTGACGCAGACAAACGGTAAGAAAAGTGTTGTCACGTGACAAGTCTGTGTTTGCATGACAATAATGTGCCACACGATCACTTCCACGAGCACAAGAATGATGTTTTCAGCGCGTGTGTGCGAAAGATCAACACATCTTTGGAGGAAAGTGAAACAAACAGTTGTGGAAACTGCTTAGAAAGATGACATTTCCTCCTCATATGATGGAAAGCATTCATTTGTACATATTTCGTGTCACTTGAGAGGGGCTTTCTCCTTGGACTAACAGCCAAAGTCATACATTGCTATCACTGACAGCTGTGTCAGGGCTTTACAGGGGCTGTAATGAGGTGTTTTATTGGTGTTCTGTTATCTCCTGACTGCTGATTGGTCTAATTACAGGTCGTGGAACTGCACAAGTCATGCCTTTTTTGGAATTCATAGCTGGATGCATTTCAGGTAGAACAAAACTCTGTGTGAAACAATAGAAGAAATGCAGTGTTTAAGGTGTGAACATGTGGAGAGATAACATGTCCTGCTTGATTGTTCCAGGTGCAGTTGGAATTGCAGTTGGACATCCGTTAGACACCGTGAAGGTTGCAACACACAGAAAGCCATAAACATAACAAAATGCCTGAGTCTTGCTTTTTCTTTACATTAACCTTAAACATGTCAGTCAGTCAGGGCTGAGCAGTGGGGCAGTGGTTGGTTCTGTTGCCTCACAGCTACAAGGGTTCCTGTCCTTACCTGGGGTCTTTCTGTTGGAGTTTGCATGTTCTCCAGAAACATGCTGAGGTTAATTGGTGATTGTAAATTGTCCGTAGGTGTGAATGTGAGTGTGCTTGGTTGTCTGTCTCTAAGTGTAGCCC